CATCTGCCAGCCTCTGCCTCCCAACTGCTGGGATTAAAGGTATATAACTACCACATCTGGCTCCTTCCTCCTTGTTTATCACAGCACCCCTCCATGGTTAACAAGGCTCTGGTGGGATGGCCAAGTAACCCATCCTCCCAGTTTTGAAGAGATGTCAGATGATTTTGGCCTAGCCAATCAGTCCTCCACCCCTAAGCACAGCAATTGGCCCAGCAATGTTCCTGTAGAGTATTCTGGGTCAATCAATCTTTCATTGGTCTTTAATATGGGACACCTCAGAGACTGAAGCCGAAACTGTGGGGAGTAGCCAGTGTCTGAGTACACCTCCCCTTCCCATCTTGTGCCTACCCTTCTGCAATAATGAGGCTGTGGCCCATGAAAAAAGCAGGTTCAGAGACACCTGGAATTGTGGGATAAGAGGGGGCAGCAGGGTTGATAAAAGGTGGCAAAGTCACTTAGGTGACGTGGCGTCATCCCAGACTGTGATCCTCCTCCTCCTAGGAAAGTCAGAACTCAGAACAAGAGGTGGGGTCTACCGTCTCTGTCCCCACAGTTCCTGCCTGTGGCCTGAGGCTCCCGTCTGTGTGTGGCGGGGGGGAGTCCTGAGGGTTGCATGCTGACTTTCCCAGCTACAGTGGTCCCCTAGTCCTGCCCAGCAATAGGCGTTTGCAGCAGTCCCCAGAGTCTCATGGTCCAACTCCAACGCCACTACTGGAGCTGGCAAAGGTACCAGGACATGGCTGGATGCCAACAGGAGCAACTGCTCAAAGCTGTTCCCTCCAGCAGCTCTGGGCCAGGGATGGTGTCCTGAAGCTCAGGGTGCCCAGCTCTGGGTACAAGGACAAGGAATGCTAGTGACTACAAGGGAAGGCTGGGCATGGCTGAGCATCCCGCCTCTGCGTCAACACCTCTTGGATTCTTGAATGGTCCTGGCCAGGGCCAACTTCACTTGGGCACATCACCTTATTTCTCACAACTGTGTGAATGGCTACCTCAGGAGTGAGGGGACCTCTCAAGAAATGGTTTTAGCTGGGTGTGGTGGCTGGGTGTGGTAGCGCATGCCTTTATTCCCAGCACTTGGGAGGGAGAGAGGCAGGTGGATCTCAGAGACTGAGGTTAGCCTGGTCTACAATAGTGAGTTTCAGGCCAGCTGGGGCTAAAGGGAGACCCTGTCTCACAAAGACCATGGACAGACATGATGAGGGTGTGAGAGAAAAGCAGAGGCAAGTGCTCTCTGGACTTGCCCAGCCACAGAGCTCAAGACTCACTCACGGTTCAGTGTGCACACAGGACACCAGGGCCCAGAGAGAGAAAGGGCCTTGTTCTGTGGCCCACAGCAGAGCCAGCAGAGACCTGTCACCCAGCTCTGGTCTCCTGGCTGGAAGCAAAGGTAAATAGAGGGGAGAGAGGGAAGTCCCTGGCTAGAGCTGACTGGGTACAGTGGGGTGGGGATGGCTCCACATGAATGTCATCAGCTTCCTGCAAGGGATGAGGCACGTGGAAGAGGTGAGAGGTAGGGGTTCAGGGCAGGATGGGAAGGCAAGGTGCACCCTGGCCTCTGCACCCGAGCCAGGGCTCAGAATGTGGAACGTGTGAGTGTACTGTTGAAAAGGTGTATGGTGTGTGTGTGTGTGTGTGTGTGTGTGGTGTGTGTGTGGTGTGTGTGTGTGGTAATGGTGTGTGTGTGTGTGTGTGTGTGTGTGGTGTGTGTGTGGTGTGTGTGTGTGGTATGTGTGTGGTGTGTGTGTGGTGTGTGTGTGTGGTGTGGTGTATGTGTGTGTGCGGTGTGTGTGGTGTGTGTGGTGTGTGTGTGTGGTGTGTGGTGTGTGTGTATGTGTGTGTTGTGTGTTGTGTGTGTGGTGTGTGTGTGTGTGTGGTGTGTGTGTGTGTGTGTGTGGTGTGTGGTGTGTGTGTATGTGTGTGGTGTGTGGTGTGTGTTGTGTGTGTGGTGTGTGTGTGTGTGTGGTATGTGTGGTGTGTGTGTGTGGTGTGTGTGTGGTGTGTGGTGTGTGTATGTGTGGTGTGTGTGTGTGTTTGTGTGTGTGAAGGGTGTGTGCATGCATGAAGAAAATTATGTATATGAAAGGGGGTGTGCATCGGTGTACATTATGAAGGGGTCTGTGTGTCTGTGCCGGGCCTGGCTAAATCCTTCCTGTACCCTGCCCCCACCCTGCTCAAGCTCTCAGGGTTTCAGCCACTGTCCTAAAGAAAACAACTCGGGCCTGCGGCAGGAAATGAGTGTTTGGACTGCAGAGGCGCCTCTTCCTGCCACAGCCAGCCATCCATGGAGCAGAGTGGGAGACCAGGAGGGGCTTCCTGCCCACCTGGGCCAGATGCCCAGCTGGTGAGGAGCCCCTCACCCTTCATCCTGGCTCCCCTGACTACCTCCCAGACCTCAGCCCCAGCCTGAGGAGATCTGAGGTTCCAGGGGCTGAAGGGAAGCCCCCTACCAATCTCCTCTCCACACAAAAGACCTGATAGCAGTGGGAGAGGTGGACAACCTCAGGCCATGAGGCGGCTGGTTGACCCTCTCAGAGGACCCCTGGAGGCCTGTCAGTGTCACAAACACTGGGTGCTCGTGGCCCCAGGGAAGCCACTTCCAAGCTTTTATTTTTTGAGACCTGTTTTTCTTTTTGGTCTTCTTGAGATAGGGTCTCCCTGTAGCCCAGGCTGGCCTGGAACTCACTATGTAGACTAGGTTGACCTCAGTCTCCAAAGATCTGCTTGCCTCTGCCTTCCAAGTGTTGAGATAAGTTCTTACTATGCTGCTGGCCTTGAGCCTTTAATCCTCCTGCCTCAGCCTCCTGAGTGTTGGGGCTAACAGGTGCATACTACTGTATCCAGCTTTCATTTTCTGGAATATTCTGAAGGGATTAATTCATTCATGTAAATGGGCATGCTCATAACAACTGGGAACCCATAAGAACAGAGCCAGGTCACCCAGGGGTAGGTTGGTCACCCACTGAAACTCCAGGTACTGCAGCTCTGAGGAGGCTTAAAACATCCAGTCACTGATAAGATCAAAGTCTAGCAGCCTGCAAATTGCCTTTACACTTTGGTAGAAAAAAAAAGAAAAACACACAGAAATGCTTATTCTCTGATTGGACTTTTGAACCTTGGGCATGCAATAACTAATTAAAATGATAAACAAATGAACACAAACGAATAAACACTAGAGGCCTGTGGACTCCTCTCTCGATTGCATGGCCCCAGGTAGGTCCCTTGCTTAGAGCTCAGAGATCTGGGAAATGGGAAGTGAGGCCTGTGGCCTCGGCTGCATGGGGCGGAAGTCCACCCTGGGGCCTGCCACTGTAGGGAACTAGTGCCCCCACGACATTCCTAGAGTTTAGATTTTCTCTGGTCCCTTTTCCAAATGTGTGCCTTCCTTCTGTGCATCCTTTCCTTCTTTCCTCTCTCCTTCCCTCCATGAGCCCCTATAAACCACTCCAGTCATTGTGCCTGTAAACAACGCTGATATCCCTGTGTGTATGCATTTTACAGGCCCTCCTCAGCTGGGCCTTCTCAGACACCCTAAGTTCCTTCCACGTGACATATTCCTGATCCCCTTGAGCCTCCTGGCTCCCCCAGGTCTAGGTTGTGTGGGATACTTATCTGGTTGGCTCCCCACGCCTGGGTCTATGTTCCTCAGCACAGCTCTGTAATACCCGTATCTGCCAGCGCGGGCCAGGCCCTCCTTTGTGTCCCAAAGGGTTATTGGACCCATGGCCTCTGAGGCTCCTGTGGTCCTGACAAAGTTTCATTTTTAAAATTATAATTTATTCATTTTTATTTTATGCGTATGAATGTTTTACCTGCATGGATAGATGTGCACCTGTGTCATGCAATGCCCACAGAGGCCAGAAGAGGGTGTTGGATCCCCTGGATCTTGTGTTCTGGATGGTTGTTAGCTGCCAAGTAGGTGCTGGGAACTGAACCCAGGTCCTCTGAAAGAGCAGCCAGTGCTCTTAACCACTAAGCCATCTCTCTAGCACCAAAGCATCATTTTTCCCCAGTCCCTGGCAACTGGGGGACAAGGCTGGAGCCGGGAAATGTGATCCTTACTCAGGCCACATCAGCCTACATCCCACTGTAACCCAGGTACAAATTTGGAAGTGCAGGCCTGGGGGGTACAACTCTGGATGTGCCTCTCTGGGCACCCCATGGTGGCTGACATGGGGTCACCTTGTGCCTTGGAGTGACTTCATGAGGAAGAGCTTGGAGAAGCTAGAGTCAGCAGGAGACTAATTAATCAAACCCAAACACACCTGTTGTTAATTATGCTCTGCCAAAGTTAACTCTTCCCTTCCGGGGCTCTGCTTTCAGTTGGTGGGCAAAGGGGACAGTGGTGAGGAGTGACTCCTTCTGTCCCTCCTTCCCTCCTTCCCTTCCAGGAAAACAGGAGCCAGGAAGAAGTGTACTGTGGCTTCTTGGGGTGAAGGCAGAGGAAGAAAGGACTCTAGAGGGCAGGTTACCCCTGTCCTGACGGGCTGTGTGTGCGTGTGTGCATGTGCGTGTGTGTTGCATTCATTGCCCATGCGAATACAAAGTCAGAGGACAGCTTCCACTGTCAGCCCTCACCTACCACCTTGCTATTAGTCACCTACCACCTCTTATTAGTCACCTACCACCTCTTATTAGTCACCATGGCAGACACTAATTTAGCTGGCCTTTGAGCTTCTGGACGTCATCCTGTCTCTGCCTCACATCTTGCAATAGGAACATTGGAATTACATGCACGTGGGTCCTGGAGATTCAAACTCAGCTCCTCAGGCTTGTGCAGCAAGTGCTCTACCCACTGCGCCATCTCCCCAGCCCCTCACAGGTGCTACTTAGGGAGTGAAAGGAAGTGTTTGCTTTTGAACGTTAACGTCCATAGACTTAACATGAATCCTGAGCAAAGTGGAGATGAACAAATATCTTCATTTACAGCCAAAATAGAACAGACCCTCCCTCTGTTCCCCATCCCCTTCCAGTCTTTTCCATACTGTCCCCCTTCAACCCAACCCCCCACTAAGCCCATTCTCTTGGGTCACAACATAGGTTAGGCCCTGACAAGAGCCCAGGGAAGGAGCTGGGGAAAGGGCAGGGGCCTGGCAGTGGGTGGGGTGGGCATCTTTTCACATTTTCTGTCCTCCAAGCTGGGGTAGCAGAGGAAGGTGGGCACCTGGAGCAGAGAGGTAGAGGACATGGGCCTCCTGTCCTGCCCCCCTCCCATAACTTTCACAGTGTTCTGTAGCCCTGGCAGCTAGCTGGTCCTGTCCCACCAGGTCTAGGTGCTGTGTCCCTGGTCACCCAGCAAGGAAGGCAGGCTTGTCTGCAGCACCCCACTCCACGACTGAGGTGGCCCCTCTGAGCATCCCACCTTCTCACATCTGGGCTGGGGTTCTGAGGGGGCCCTGGATGGGTGGGTGGGTACAGGGGTAGGGGGAGGTCTCCAGCTTTGTGTGACAGCCCAGGAGCCACCCTGGGACATCAGGAGGAAAAGCAGAGCCCACAGCACTCCATGCAGATTTCCAGGCAGTCGGCAGACTCGCAACAGGCGTCCACGATGCCGCAGTCCAGGTCGCAGGGAAGGTCACAGTCTGCACACTCACCGGATCCACAGCAGCAGCAGCAGAGGCACGAGTCCTCCGAGCTGCAGGAGCCGCAGGTGGCGCAGTCCAGGACGATATTGCAGAGCGTCAGGAACTCACAGAACAGGCAGGACAGGATGCAGTGGACACAACAGTCTGTGGGAAGTGGGGTCAGCAAGTGAGAGACGGGAGTAAGACAGTCCCAACAACAACAGCCGAGTAGGGCTGCCAAGTGCCTGCTGTTGTGCTTGACTCCTGTAGTCCTCAGTGCTCCAAGAAGCAAAAATTCGATAGTGGGAAGGCCTACTTTCTTTATAGGTGATGACTCAAGCAAGGTACAGGGACACAGCACATCAGAGCAAGGACTGGAGCCCAGGCAGTATGCATCAGGAGCCCCTGCCCTTAACTTCCTCCTGTTTATTTACTTAATAAGCAGGTGGTTAAGGACCTGTCCCAGGCACTGTTGTGTTATGCAGGAATTAAACTCATTTAAGCCTCTATAACATGGGCTGCTAATTAGCCTCACTCTGCAGATTAAACCGAGGCATAGAGAAACTTAGTACTTAAAAATATATGGGGGGAGGAGGTGGGACGGCTGGAGAGGTGGCTCAGTGATTAAAAACACTGGCTGATCTTGCAGAGGACCTGGGTTCAATTCCCAGCACCCACATGGTGGCTAACAACCATCTATAACTCCAGTTCTAGGGGAATAAGAGGCCCTCTTCTGACCTCTGCAGGCATTGCATGACATGGGTGCACTTACATACATGCAGGCAATACACTCATACACATAAAATAAAAAAATAGCCATGCGTGGTGGTGTACACCATTAATTCCAGCACTCCCCAACCTCCTGCCTGATTCTGTCTCCCCCAGGGCTTACCTCCTCCCACCACGCACACCACACTGTTTTATGTTGACTGTCATCTCACATTCAATTCACTGTGCTAGGATAGTCAGCCACCTTGGTCTGTAATGTTCACTGATGTGTTACAAGTCCCCGGGACAGGATGTAGCTCAGTTAGTAGAGTACTTGCCCAGTAAGCACACACACGAAGTCCTGGGTTCCATCCTCAGGACTACATACACTCATTATGGTGGTCCACACTTATATTCCTAGCACATGAGTAGAGGCAAGAGGATCAGGAGTTCAAGATCATCCTCAGCTACATGAATGTTTGAGGCCAGCTTTGAGCTACCTGAGATGCACACAGTAGATGCACACAGGTAAACACAGTAGGTGCTTGGTGAACACATTTAATGAGTTCATGCATGAACTTGTCCTTGGGTATCTAGCTATTACAAGGTAGAATTGAGTTGAACTTGCAGGAGTTGAACACTGCACTGTTGGGTGCTGACTGGGCAGCCCTTCCTAGGACCAGAGCACCCAGTTTCCCCAACTAGAGCTGACTGCTATGGATAATCTGACACTGTTCTGTGTCCGATGCGGAACTGTCTTCTCTCTATGCCCATAGGAGATAGGGTAATTCTCTTCAAATGCAGATGTAGTGAACTCTCAAGGCTCCCCACTGCCCTCCAGATAGAGTCCCGGTCCGGTCCACTGCATGGTTGATAAGGCTTTCCCAGAGCACCTGCCTGCCTGGAGTCTCACCTCCCACTTTCCTCCACCTGCACTCTATCTTCCAACCACACTAAGCACCAGTACCCTCTGTGTTAGTGCTTCCTGCCTGCATCCCGTCTCAACCTCTAGTCTTCCCATTCTCTCCTCCTCAGCCTTCTGGGCTGGTGTGGGTGTCCTCATGTTCATATAAACCTCTTTTTAAAAAAAATAATTTATTTTATCTATATGAATATTTTGCCTGCATGTATGTAGGTGCACCCCATGTTGTGCAATGCTCAAAAGGACCAGAAGAAGACATCAGATCCCCAGAACTGGAGTTAAGGAAGGTTGTTAGCTGCCATGTGGGTGCTGGGAACAGAACCCCAGTTCTCTGCAAGAGCACCTAGTACTCTTAACCTCCAAGCCATCTCTCTAGTCTCTTAATACAACTTTCTACTCATGCACTTGTCACATTGGTGATGACCTATGTGTGTCCTTCTCATGAGAGCTGCTTGAAGTCAGGGGCTAGCAAGCCCAGGTACATAGTTATTATTATCATTATCCTGTGTTAGGGATGGGATCCAGGGCTTTGAACATGAAAGACAAATGCTCTCTATCCACTGAACCATTCCCCTACCCCCAGGGCATGCTAGAAGAAGGAAAGACTGTTGGCAGAATCTGACCCATGGGATGGAAAGGTTTCAGAATATGTTACTTACAAATGCGTACAATGAATCCTGTTTGCAGGCGACCCTGTGTCCAGAGTCTCCCAGAATGAATGGGGCTGAGAATGTCAGGTAGCCCCTGAGCTACAGACAGCTGTCTCTATGATACCTGGGGGGTATGTGGATGGCTGACCCAGGACTGCCAGAAGAGGCTGTGTGTTAGGAACAGCCTGACCTGAGTGGCTGATCTGAGACCTCTGGCCTCCTTTTCTATACCTTGCTACCTGCTCCCCCCTGCAACAGTTCAACCCCCCACAACAATTCAGCATCATTGTACTTGGCTAAATATTTCTTTTGCTTCCACTAAACAGATGGTCTATTCCTCAAGGAAAAATTTTCATTTTCTTTGGTGCTAAGCATATGCTCTATGTTGAGCCATCCCCATAGCCCGAGAAAAGTTCTGATTCAGGAATAAAGTCTTAAGTGGGATCAACCCAGGTGGCTGGATTCCTTGTTAGAACAAGCTCAGAGAGTGGGGCTGGAAGGGGCTGGCCTTGAGAACAAAGGTGTGTATGCCTCAGTTCACCAGCTAGGTGTGCTTTGCAAGGTTCATAAACTTGAGCAGGACTGCAAGGGCTCCTTGGAGTCAGGCAGCTGGATTCTGCCCAGTTAACCTTTACCTTGGCCTCTGCCAGCTCACAGCTGGTTTTGCCCCTGGTGCTACTGGGTAATTTATTGGAGGTTAGAGCTCTACATTTATACACATTTACACACACACACACACACACGGACCACAACCCATGTGTGGAATTCAGAGGACAACTTGTAGGAGTCAGTTCTCTCCTTCACCATGTAGGTCCTGGATCGGACTCAAGTCATCAGGACTGGTGCAAGTGCCTTTACCCTAAGTGGAATCATCTCGCCAGCCCTTGATCTTCTTTGTACTGTTTTGTTTGTTTTGAGACAGGGTCTCACTATGTACCTCTGGCTGGCCTGGGACTCACTATGTAGACCAGGCTGGCCTCGAACTCACAGAGATCCATCTGCTTCTACTTCTTGAGTGCTGGGATTAAAGGTGTACATCACCTCACCCAGCCTGACTTCTGTGTTTCTTTTTTTTTTTCTTTTTGTCTTTTTGAAACAGGGTCTCCCTGTAGCCCCAGCTGGCCTGGAACTCACTATTTAGACCAGGCTGGCCTTGAACTCACAGAGATCAGCTTTTGCTTCTGCCTCCCAAGTACTGGGACCACAGGCGTGCGCCACCACGCCCAGCTACTTCTGAGCTTCTTACCCAGCAACCTGATGACACTGCTGGCACTGGCTGTGGATGAGGGATGGGCAGGGCCCTTACCTTCCTGTGCCTGGAGAGGGACCTGTGAGGATGCTGACCGAGTACTCCCTTTGCTCTTCCTCCTGCCTTGGCTGGCCAGAGATGGATGTGTCTGCAACTTCCGGTGGGCCTTGGGGCCACCCAGAGCACCGTTCCCCGCATGCCTGGTACTGCCTAGCTCTGAGGGGTGGCCGTGGCCGGAGCCATTTGGCAGTAGTGGGGTGCAGCCCAAGGGGTTCCCTTGAGGCTGGCCTGGAGAGATGAAGAGAAAAGACAATGTGGAAAAGAATGGAGGGGGGAGTGTCACCCAACCTCCCCTCCCCCATGTGCTCAGCTTGAATCCTGCCCACTTTATTCTTAGATACACCATAGGGCACCTAGACAGATTTGTCTGCTTAGATGGAGAAACTGAGGCCCAGAGAGCAGAACTGACTAGCTCAGAGCCACACCATGCAACAGCAGCAGACTGGGGTTCAGTTCCTGATTCCCACAATCTCATTCCAGAATAAAAGCAAAATGAAATCAAGATGCAAAGCAACGGGGCCTGGACCTCACTCTTATACCATACGAAATCTGTTCTCCTGTCTTGGGACTTCTGGATTTTGGCTAGAGTGATGGGGTGGGGCAGGCATAGCGTGCCTGGGGTTGCTTTGGACAGCAGCGAAGCAGTTAACCTCCACCTCGGCCTCTGCCAAGCCTCCAGCTGTTTTTGCCCTTGGTGCGGCTGGGTGACTTATTGGAAACATCTGTTTGGAGACATATGCCTGGCCCTGGACTCAGCTGTTCCTCACAGCACCCCCTCTATCTCCTGCTCCTTGCTCTCAGCACCCCCAAAGACCCACTCTGGCCTGCTGCTGTGGGCAGAGCATGCTGTAGGGCCCTAGGATCTGGGTGACTGGGGGGAAAGGGAAGAAGCAGCTGGGGGAGACCTCTAAGACCAGGTCTCCTCCCAGGCTGACTGGCTGACTTCAGCTTTGCCAATAAAGAGGATCCCCAAATCCTCAGATCCTTTCTAGACTTCATTCAAGGGGTGCTCAACTGAGTAGCCTGGCCCTGTTCCCAGGAGGTGAGGGTAGGTGTTTATGCTGGTAGGGGGGAGACAAGAAGGGAGCCACAAGAACTCCAGGACCCCCAGCTGCCAAGTGTCTTCTGCAAACATAGGTACAACATTGCTTAGCAGGGGAGGAGATCCCTGGCTTCCTCTACCATTTAAATTTTTTTATTATTTATTTATTTTATTGTTTATTTATTTATTTTGAGACAGGGTCTCCCTGTAGTCCCAGGTGACCTGGAACTTGCTATGTAGACCAGCTGCCCAGCTGTCCTGGAACTTACTATGTAGACCAGGCTGGCCTTGAACTCACAGAGATCCGCCTGCCTCTGCCTCCCAAGTGCTGGGACTACAAGCATGCGCCACCACGCCCGGCTTATTATTCTTATTTTATGTGTATCAGTGTTATGCCTGCACATAGGTAAGTGCACCCATGTTGTGTAATGCAATTGGAGGACAGAAGAGGGTGTTGGATCCCCTGGAACTGGAGTTACGGACAGTTGTTAGCTGCCATGTGGGTGCTGGGATTTGAACCCGGGCCTTCTGCAAGAACAGTTAGTGTTCTTAACTGTTGAGCCATCTCTCCAGCCCCTATTATTTATTTTTATGTGTATGAGTGTAATGACTGCACATGTGTAAGTGCACGTGTGCCCAAAGAGGACAGAAGAGGGCATCAGATTCCCTAGAACTGGAGTTACAGAGGGTTATTAGCCGCCATGTGGGTGTCAGGGCTGGAGGGATGGCTCAGCGGTTAAAAGCACTGGCTGTTCTTGCAGAAGACCTGGGTCCTTGTGTTTAAATTTTACAGGAGGGTGATGTCAAGGGACCCTAGGCACTCAGGAGAGAAAGTAGCTTCAGTGCACCCATAGACTGTGGGGGCTGGGCCTTCTAGTAATGGTAGTAAGTGCCGCACAGAGGATCAATTGAGCACTCGCTATATACTGGACTAGTCATGGCTCTTAGTACTTGCTAATTATTCTTTTTCTTTAATTTTCAAATTTATTTATTTTAATTTAATTTAATTTATTTATTTATTTTGGTCTTTTTGAGACAGGGTTTCCCTGTAGCCCCAACAGGCCTGGAACTCATTATGTAGACCAGGTTGGCCTTGAGCTCACAGAGATCCACCTGCCACTGCCTCCTGAGTGCTGGGATCAAAGGTGTGCACCACCATGCCTGGCTTAAAAAATATTTTATTTATTATTTTTATTTTATGTGCATGAGTGTTTTGCCTGAATGTATGTAAATACACCCATGTTATGTGATGCTGGTGGGCAGAAGAGGATAGTGGATCCCCTGGAATTGGACTTAGGTTTTGAGCTGCTATGTGGGTGCTGGGAACTAAACCCAGGTCTTCTGCAAGAGCAGCAAGTGCTCTTAACCACTGAGCCATCTCTCTAGCTCCTGTAGTAACTTCTTTACGCATCACAATTGATTTATTATCAACCCATTTTTTCTCCCATTTCTCAGATGAGAACACAGGCCCAGATGGTATAATTTGCAAAAGGTTCCACACTTAGGAAATGGGGGGAGGAGGCCCGGAGTCTGGGAGGAAAATGCCACAGACAGAGGTGGGAGCCTGGGAGTGAGGTATGGCTAGGGCTTTGCACTGCATAAACAGGGACTGGGCCACGGGAGCGGGCACGCCTGAATCATCCCAGATCCACAGAGATGGCTGGGCAGAGTTTTTGGCCAACTTCACTGCCCCTTGCCCTGCTGCCTAAACACGGGTACAGTGGCCAGAGGGAGGGAGTGTGGGTGAGCTGAGGGCCCTGGGAGGTGCTACAGACACAAAGCTCGCCTGTGGCCTGGCTGTGGGGTGGCCAAGGGGGTGAGGATGAGGGTGGGGCTGAGTCACAGAGCAAACACTGACAGCCACAGACACAGGAGTGTCTGTACCACTCCCACATAGTCCCCTCCCCGTGGCTGCATCCATAACCTCCTCTAAATTCCATGAATGTGTGTGTGCGTGTGCCTGTATGTGCGTGCGCATGAGCGAGCACACACATGTGTTCATGAAGGAAGCTGAGAACACTGCACTTGCAGGACTCAGGAACCCAACTTCTAAGGTGTCCAGCTGGGTCTAGATGCCCTGACTAGAGGTAGCTCCCTGCTCATTTGGCAGGTACAGCAAAGTATGCTGGGTCAGGAGACTTGAGTGCCAGTCTTATGTATCTGTGCCTCAGTCTCTTCATCTATAAAATGGGTGTGGCAAAGGTCAGTTGTGGTGAAGCACACCTTTAATCCTAGCACTTGGGAGGCAGAGGCAGGCAGATCACTGAGCTGGAAGCCAGCCTGGGATGGTCTACATAGCAAGTTCCAGGCCAGCTGGGGCTAGGTAGTGAGACCCTGTCTCAAAACATAAAAATCAGGCTAGAGAGGTGGGTTTGACCATTAAAAGCACTGGCTGCTCTTGGAGAGGACCAGGGTTCAGTTCCTAGCACCCCATTGCATCTAACAGCCATCTCTTACTCTGGTTTCAGAGGATCCGACTCCCTCTTCTGGCCTCTGCCAGCATCCCACACACGAGTGAGCTTACATACATTGTGCAGGCAAAACGCTCATACACATAACATTAAAATAAAATACTTTAAAAGCATGTGGTAATAACTGTACTTCCTAGGAAAGCACTCAAACTCATTCAAAGAGAGAGAACTAACTTTGGCCTATTATTATTTCTTATTATGTGACCCTGAAAGCCCTTTGCTATGTTCTTGAGGGTGAGGGGAAGGATCCTCCTGCTCCCAGGGCTCCTGGGAGACCTCCAGCCAGGCCTGGTAAAGACGAATTTTGCTTCTTTCTCCCCCCAGAGCAAATGAGGGCTTCCCCTCTCCTTTTTATCCTGGGTCTTTCTGTGATGGGTGGACTGTAGCAGGTCCCAGCTCTTGGGCCAGCCCAGTACTCCAGCTCTTTCTCTTTCAAAGGCAAAGGATGCCTCTTTCCTCACAGCTTCGAGCCATGTTGCCTGGAGCCTGGCCACTAGCAAGGTAGAGAGCTGTTTGTCTCACATCACACAAGTGACAACCTCCTCTACTGTTCCCCTACTCACACTGCCACCCTCAAGGGCAAAGAGAAAACACATCCAGGGGTGCCGCAAATCCTGCGTGTCACCACCCCAAACTCCCGTCCCCTAGGACTCACACGTCACAGCTTCTGTGGGGACATCGAGGTCAGTGCTGTTCGGAGCCTGGGGAGCTCCAGAACCACTGTCTTGGGGCATGGAGGGTGCCTTGTCCTTCAGGGAGCCCTCTTCTGATGCTGTCTCTGCAGGGTGAGTGGATCCCGCTGCTACCTCCAGCCCACATAGGAGTGACACGGTCTGGGCTAGGGAAAAAAGTAGATGACTGAGATTTGTTTCCAGGTGCCCTCTTGCGTGCCCAATCCTGGGCCTGATCTATAGCCCAGAATACCCCAACTCAATGAGTCCTTCCTTTCGCTCCGTTCCTGCACAAGTCACCCAGCCATCATCCTGTCTGGCAATGATGCTAGGCTCCAAAACTGAAATTTTTTCAACCACAACCAGTGTGAGCAAGGGCATGTGGGCATGCATCTGTCTGTACAGGAGAGAACAGGCAAGCTGGTTAGCAACACAGCCAAAGACACAGCTGTGGAGATTGACAGGGATGGGAAGATAGCATCCGGATGTGGGAGATTGGGCAGGGAAGGCAGAGCCTCTGAGATCCAAGGACAGACAGTGAAGAGACAGCAACGAGAAAGTCAGTGATGGAGAAGAAAGTTATAAGGTCAGGGCCCAGGGAGATGGGGGTGAGAAGGGACCACGAGATGCAGAAAGTAGATGGAGAAATAGGTCAGAGAAGGGATACTGGCAAGAAATAGCAGTGAAAGTAATCTGGAGGCAAGGGGCAGGGAGGGGCTGCAAGCAGGAAGGGAGGCCAGGAGACAGCCAGGAGGACTGGGGAAGAGGTGAACCGCAGTCCCGTGTAATTAGAGTGACCCTGGGCAGGGTGGGTGGAATGAAGGAACAGAGTCACCTTCAAACCACAGCTCCCCAGGCGGCAAGGCTGGGGCCCCCTGAGCTCCCAGGAAGGGAGAATGGGGAATGAGTGGTGCCTGAAAGTCCACAGCCTTGGTCTGTGGCTGTGGGAAGGTCTTGGGGGTAAACCTGGGGTCATAGTGCCCAGGTTATGGCAATTCTACAATATGGCTGCTTTTTAGCTGACCCAGTTTTGCTGTGTGATGGGATGACAGTGTTCTCAGAGTATGCCCTCCCCACCTGTGTCTCTTCTTATACCTGTCATGCTGGGAGAAAGGAAACACAGAAGCAAGAGATTTGGGGGCTAGAGAAATGGCTCAGCGGTTGAGGGCTGACTGTTCTTGCAGAGGACTGGGGTTCTGTGCCCAGCACCCACATGGGGTTAACAACCATTCATAACTCCAGCTCCAGAAGATCTGACGCCCTCTTCTGACCTCCCCAGGCACTGCATGACACGGGTGCACTTGCACACACGCAGGCAATACACTTATATACATAAAATTAAAATAATAAACAAGATTTTTTTTAAAGAAACAGGAGACTTGGAGAAAGGCAGAGACCAAAGGGCATGGAAGTGGGAAGGCAGAGAAGGGGGGAAGTAAACAGCAGTGAGGCCCAAAGAGGGAGAGATCAACATCCACCCTGCGCAGCCCACAAAGAGATGGAGGAGGCAGACACAGAGACAGAGACACAGAGAGAGAGACAAGGAATGGTCTTGCAAGTGGAAATGGGTTCAATTATAGAGAACACAGAGGGAGAGATGAGAGCCAGAGAGTGAGAGAGCAAGAGAGAGAGAATGAGAACTAGAGTCATCCTTGACGATTTGGGCACCTGGATCTGGGAGTTGGAAGCTGGAAGCCAGTCTAGGGATGTGTCAGTGGTCCAGCTGCCTCCGTGGCTGCTGAGACTGAGGCCTTGTTAACAGTCTTTGGTTCCTCTCAGCCAAGGGGACAGAGGTCTCAGAAGTCTATGTGGGTAGCACGGTGGACTGCAGGCCCAAGTGGGTGGGCTCCTGACTGTCTGGCACAAACCACAGGCCCTGCCTGCAGATGGGCTCTGGGGCAGAGAGGAGCAGGGGCAAGAGTCCTGGAGGGTAGCAGGTGATGTGTTAGGGGGTCCTTCTCAAAGTGGGGGTTCCTTCTAGCTCCATCTTCTCTTTGGGTCTGTTGAAAGGCCCCCTCCTCTCCACAGCCACCTGGATTAAGGATGGAGAATCAAATGGCTCTTGGCAGGTCACAAGGTTGAAAAAGGAGAGCAGACAAGTAGAGCTGATACAGAGACACTGTGGCTGCTGTTAAACGGGGCCTCTGCCAGCCCTGAGCCTAGTCCACACCAGCTCAGACACAACTGGAGGGCTAATGCAGAGCTGGCGTGAAAGAAGAAGACTAGGTGCTTGGGTCAGAATTTCTAGGAAGGGGGGCTGGAGAGATGGCTCAGCCTTTAAGAGATGGCTCAACAGGTAAGAGCATGGGCCTGGCTGCTTTTGCAGAGGATCTGGGTTTAGTTCTCAGCACCCACATGGTGGCTAACAACCACCTGTAACTTCAGTTCCAGGGGATCTGATGCCCTCTTCTGACCTCTATGGGCACGGCATGCACAGGTGCATTTAACATGCAAGCAAAACACTCATATGCATTTTTAAAAAATACCCTTTTTTCGGTTCATGAGCATGATGATATGGTGTTCATGCTGTTGCCTGACATGTGCCTCCCTCAAACCTGTTATGATGTTGACACATTATCCTAAATAAATATATAAATAAATAAGAGGGGAATTTTGAGAAGAAACAGCAAGAACCAAGATCTCAGAGGCACCAGACCAGCAGCAATGAGAGAGCAGGGACCACATGCTACTCCATGGTATTGAGGCTGGGTCACCTAAGACCTTGTGGTGACTTCCTAGACTTTCTCTGAGGGTGCAGAGGGGTGAAACCGTCAGTCCTGTATAGACAGAGTCAAGACGTCTGCTTTCAGCCGGGCGTGGTGGCGCATACCTTTGCTCCCAGCACTTGGGAAGTAGAGACAGGTAGATCTCTGAGTTTGAGGCCAGCCTGGTCTACATAGCGAGTTCCAGGCCAGGTGGGGCTACAGGGAGACCCTGCCTCAAAAAGACTAAAGAAACAAAAGCAACAACAACAAAAACCCACTTATGTTCTCCTGGTCCCCAGGACTAGAGAGGGAGGAAGGCAAGAAAGAGGGTTAAAAGAAACTGGGGTTCCTATCTCATCTTCCTCTCTCTCTTCACGGTCACCTACAGGGCTGGTGACCTCGAATCTGGGAGGAACAGAAAATTATAGAGACCAGACCATATTCTGAGGAGGCCAGCCCTGTAGAAAGCCTGCCATTCTAGGACACGGAGGGACAGACCTCCTGGAGCCAGAAGGGTCACAGTGGGGAATCCTTCATGGCAAGGGCGGAAGAGGGGACTGAAGCACATGCCCAGACAAGCCAGCAGAACCAGAAGGAAGTAGCAGCAACAGAAAGACCCGAACCACAAAGGAGATGCTGCTCCAGGGAGCCCAGACCCTAAGACATGGGCTGGGAACAGCGCTTGTTAGGACAGAGGGAACAGAAAAGCCAGGGCATACGTGGGTCAAAGACTCTCAGGGCAAGAGGCCAAAGAGCTCAGTTTTCCTACTGTCACCGAATGACTCTTCTATCTATCCATGGAGGGGAGAATATCTCTGAGGAGAATCTCCCGAAGGGTTTGAGTGTAACGAAGGTAAAGGAAAGGTAAGGCCAAGAGGGAACACTGTGTGGGTGTGCCATCCATGCCCTGTACAAAGACCCCACACAAGACATGAGTGGAGTGGGGCTGAAGTCCCCGGATGGAGTTCTAGCATGTGCCATCTACACATGTACATCCAGATGTACATCTCCTTCACCTGACCAGATGAAGACATTTCTCTAATTTAATGTACAATGACCCCAAACACACTGGTGCCCTGCAGAAAGGATTCACTTCAACACAAGTCCTTTCCTAACAAGGGGTAAGATTCTGGTCCATGTGTCAGAGTTCTAGAAAGCCAGCCAGCTCCAGAAAGAAGCAGAAGGGCGTGCTTCAATCCACAAGACCCAGAGGGAAAGCTGACCAACACACCAACAGGGACCTCCTCCCCTAGCTGGCTGTCCATCAAGAAGTGGGATAGGCTTACTTCGAGCCTGTATAGTTCCCATCTTCTAGTCTTATAAGTCTGGCCCTCTCCATTGTCTTTTTGGACAGTGGATCTGGGCTCTCCCCCTTGGAGCTGTGACCATCTCTGGAGAGAGAAGACCAGGATTTCTTCTGGTTAGAGTAGTGGATGGAACCCCACATTTCACTCTGCTTGGCTAGACATTCAAGGCCTCTGTCAACATCTTTAGTCAATGTACAAAGGTCCTATGTTCCAGGCAGACTGGCCTGTCTGTCCATGGCTCTGGGCCATTTCTAGGCCTTCTGGCTAAATTGTCTGTGCGTATATTGTCCCTTATGATCCATCCTTCCTGGTCCAGTCACAACCTCACCTCTTCCTCAGAAGGCCTTCTGTAGGACAGTAGTCCCTCCTCCAAATGGCCCAGTTATTGACAACTCAGCACCTGTGTTCCTCTTGTTAATTAGAACTTGATAGTGGCATGTGACTTCTCGTGAAGACTGGACCACTACCTACCTTCCTCCCGTGGGGCGCTCACTATTCCTTGCTGCATGTCTGTGGGTGAGTGTTAGCATTCTGAATGCCCCAGGTTAGGGGAAGGAGAGAGGGAGGAGCCACATCAAGGATTAGAGGTGGCATCTAGCTTTGAACCCCAAGAAGGCCAGAGAAGATGGACTCCTTTGGTTGAGTCAATAAGTGTGAATCCACTGGTCACAGATCGAGGCCACTGAATGGAGGGTTGGAGAGGACCCAAGCTGCCAGTTAGGTTCAGTCCAGTTATTTTATTTTGGGTCTGAAGGCTCCGATTCCCAGGAAATTGAATTTAGAACCATGGGCAGGAATGTGATGCCCCAGTGCTGGGCAAAATCTTGTGGGTTAGGGAGCCAGGGTCCTGGGACTCTCAGGAATGGGTGGGGTAGAGGCCACTGGGACAGCCAAGGGTGTGAGGGCTTGGCCACCTGCCCTAAGCCCCTTGTGCCCTGCATGTGTCTTGGGTGGCTAAGAGAGGGGGCCAATTTGCTCCCTAGCTGTCCTGCCAGCAGCCTCTTCCCCATCTCCCCCTCCCACCCCTGGGACACGACGGCTGTGGCCTCTCTGTTCTGTCAGCACACAGGGAGCATGAGGGATTCTGGTCTCAGAGTCAGGCGTCTGTGGGGTTTTGGCTGAATCTCCTGCGGTTTGGGCTTCCTGGGCAGCAAACTCCTTCTCCCAGGGCAGAGGCAGTACAGGGCCTAGTGTTATAAAAGCCGCTGTTGTCTGGCCCAGTCCCGGCTGGGGAGGGGGCTCGCTGAGGCACTTGGGGTAGGGGAGCCTCAAATTACAGCCTAGGATTAAGCCTTCCCAGAAGCTCACCCTGGACTCTGGAGTCTGCTTGAGTACACTTTGCCCTCCTCCTCTGCTGCTGGGTGGAGAGCAGGTTGTACAAGAGAGGGGAGATCTTGGAAGGAGGTATGGAGGAAGGGAGAGCAAAATAGATAAGGGGAGAGTAAGAAAGCATGCAAAGGGAGGGTGGGAGAGAGGCCAAGAGGGATGGAGAAAGTTCCCAGACACAAAGGATTCCAGCCCCTGTTCCCGCTCTCCTTCCAGGCTGAAGGATCCTGGTCCTTCCAGAAGTGTATTTCCCATAAACTCTTAAGTTCTTGCACCAAAGGCTGTACCAGGAGAACAAGGACTCAGGGCTGGTCAAGGTGGGTAACAGACACATTGGTCTCATTTGTGTGCTGGCCATTGGCCAGATAGCCCCATTTTTTGAACACCCTCCATCTCTACAGCTGTGTGAAGCCACACCAGGTAGACAGGTACTGAGACCCCCCTCTCCAAACAAACTGAGGTGTTGGGGAACGTGGAGACTGAGACCAGATACAGAAAGACACTTGCCCAAGGCCATGCAGGGAGTTTGGAGTCATAGGTCCAGGCTTGGATGTTCATTATTGGGTCAAACTGGGGAGAAGGGGAGATTGGGCTGGGTGGGAAGAAGGTAGGGCATCTGACTGAGCCAGAGGAGGGATTTAACTTGGGTTTAGACTTCTGCACCCCACCCTGCCCCCATTCTGAACAAATCCCCAAACAAATCTACATAGCAGGACCCTGACTTCCCTAGGAGCCTCAGTGGAGGCTCTGGACAGTGAGGAGAAGGGCCTGGAAAGTCAAGTTGGCAGCTGCCCCCACCCCTCAAAGGAACCTCATACCCTTCCTTAGTGTGCAGGTTCCTGGGAGAATCACACACCATGTGTGTGTGTGTGTGTATGTGTGTGTGTGTGTGTGTGTGTGTGTGTGTGTGTGTGTGTAGGGTAGGGTAGGGTAGGGTAGGGTAGAGGCTGGGGAGGAGGGAACCACAGCAAGGCAAGAAAGAGGGGAGGGGCTGGATCTTGTAGCCACTATTTGCTGAGACAAAAGTTTTCGGGAAGCGCTAGGCTCTGCTTGGTGTGGGGGAAGGGAAGGAGAGAGACTCAGACACCCCCACCCCGCCTAAGGCCCCCATAAATATTTATACACTGGGCAGAAACGGTTGGGATGCAGATCCCAACAGTATGAACAGGCACCACTGTGTGTGTGCGTGTGTGTGTGTGTGTGTGTGTGTGTGTGTGTGCCTGTAGCTGGGTCTGGGGGGAGTTGGAGCCAACTCTGCACAGTCTGGCTGCCAGTTCCGGGCCCTGCCTCCTCACCCCAGCCCTCCACTCTCCTAGGACTAGGTCCCCAATACTCAGACTTTTCAACCCCACCCAAGCTCCTGGGAGTCATATGCCCCTTTCTCCAGGGAGAAGGGAGAGAGCTAACAACCGCCCCCCACCTCCCACCCCTCCGGTCCACTTTGCGTTCCATTCCCTCTCCTACCTGGGTCCGGGGCTGCGCTGGGGGCTCCATGGGGCGTGTCGCAGCGAGAGGGGCCCTGACCGCTCACCTGGGACATCGGCCCGGGACCTGGGGAAAACAGTGCTCAGCGGGCGGGGCTGTCCTCCCAGGGGCGTGCGTGAGGACTGGGGGACTGGCTGGGGTGCTCCGGCACAGACTCCTGCAAGCTGTACGCAGTCGCGCAGCCGGGTCACCGTGCCGGGCCCCCCATGCGGCACCTGGGTCGCCCGCCCCCCCTCCCCCCTCACTCGTTCTTGGCTCCCATTCTGGCGCCAGCTCGCACCCACCGATCGCCCCTTCCTTCTTCCTTCCCTCCTCCAGCCCCCTCGCTCCTCCCCTCTTCCCTGGCCCACCCTGGCCCCGCCCCCTCCTCCGCATCCCAGTCCCCCACCCACCCACGTGTCCCCTCCCCGGAGCCGGGCCAGGCGCTGCCCGGGCGGGACACGTCTGTCAGCGGGGCGTCCGAGGCCCGAGCCCCCACAGGAAGCCGGCTCGCCTGGTTTCCTCCTCTATGCTCAGAACGGGGCCCCCAGTCTCCCCAAATCTCCGCCTCCTGAGGCCCAGAGGACCTCGCCGGGGCTGCAAAAGGGGCTGCATGTTTTCCTTCGGTCTTAAACTTTGGAAAAGTTTGCAGACCAGCAAAGAGAAAGAGAAGCCACAACCACCTCGGGACGACGGTCTGGATAGTTGTAGCCCCACCTCCCATGGCATTGTCCCAAAGATCACAGAGATCTAGGCCCCCCGGAGCCTTTGGCCCATCCCCACGATCCTCACTTGGGGGATCCCAAGCCGGGTGCTTGAAGTTTGGGGCTCAAAGCCCATAAACCCATCCGCTGGAAACTGGCCCTCCGGGAAATCCTACTGTGCGTCCCAGCCTTCCCTGTCTCACAGCAGCGGGACACATCCCCGGTGTCCTGCGACAACCTGCCCCTCCTCCCCAATCTATAGCTTTACGTGAAATTCGTATCAGAAAACTGTGCAAAGAGAGGTTCGCGGTGTTCACTCCCTTTGAGCTTCAGACTGGAACTCCGACCTTCTGAAACCAGGGTGCGTGAAGAAGGGGGTTGGGAGGAGCCAGCTTGTTGGCCAATTGTGGGAACAAGCAGTCCAAGGGGTCTGGGGACCCTCAGAGAGACCCCAGGACTGGATCCCGAGAATGGAGGAAGGCGTGGAGCTTGTGTCCAGCCAGGTGGGGCTGGGCGGGCTTATAGGGGCGATCCTCCGGTGAGGCGCCCTCTGGGTTATCTCAGTCACCTCGGACCCAAGTGGCCGAGTCGTCCGTCGGAGTCCCCACCACCAGGGCCAATTAGGGAGGCGGCGGCGGCGACAAGCCACCTCCTGCCGTCCCGGCTTTACAGCCAGAGTTGGAAGGAGGAAGCTGGGACACCAGGGACGGGTGAAGGATTCCAAGCTTTCCCCTCCTCTGTCGCCTCCCAGTCTTTGAAGCCACTACTTACGGCTCTCCTAGGTCTTCGGGGCGCCGTCGGGGCCAGGACCAGAGTGGCCCCCACGGCGCCCGCTGCGCTCTGGCCACCCGCGGCCACGTCCCGCGATGGGCTCGAGTGGAAGCAGATGGGAGGGAGGAGGGACAGGCGGGATCCCGCCCTGGATGCCTGGATGTAAGCTGCGTGCGGGGGCCTGGCTCGTCGGCGCCCCAGAGCCGGCCTGGGATCAGGCTGCTTGCTGTCTGGGAGCGGCTGAGAGCTGGGGCACACACCTGGCACTGGCTGAGTCACCACGACGCGCTAGGGCTTGGCGGCTGCTGCATTCTTACCGGCTTACCTGAGCAGCAGGCTGGGCCTCACCCGCCTCCAAGGCAACCGTACTGTTTCTGTCTGGCCGCGGTGCAGCATCCACCCTTCAGTTTCTCAGATCAAGGCCCCTGTAACTAACGCAGTCCTGGAGACTTAATGTTCCCAAGTCATCTGTGAGATCTCAAAAGCCACCCCTGAACCAATCCTACTTAGTTTACTTAGTTGAAGAAGTAAAATACACTGTCACTTGAACCCCACATGCTGGTTACACAGGTGTGCTATGTTTGTGAGGCTTCAACAGGCTGGACAGTTGAGTTTGGTGAGCTTTTGGTTGCCTAGATAGTCTCCTGTAGCTCAGGCTAGCCTAGAACTTGCTCTACAACCTTGAATTTCTGACCCCATCTTGCTCCTTTCCCAGTATTCTGATTACAGGCTACCACATCCTCTTTATGGGGTGCTAAAGGTGGACCCCATCTACCAACTGAGCTACATCCCCAGCCCTCCATGCACCTTCTGGTAGGCTAGTATAAAAAAAGATTTGAGGCAAAGGGAAAACCAGGAGAGACAGGGTCTCATTGTATAGCCAAGAGAGCCTGAAACACCTCATCCTCTTGACTCAGTTGCCCGTGTCAGGATTACAGGAGTGTACCACCACATCTGGCTTCACTGAGATGATGATGATGATGATGATGATGATGATGATGATGATGATTTAGACAGGATCTCACTATGTAGCCCTGGCTGGCTTGGAACTCACTAGGTAGACCAGGCTGGTCTTGAACTCATAGGGATCCACCTGCCTCTGCCTCCCAAGTACTGGGATTAAAGGCGTGCATCCCATGAACCTGGTGATTTTGTTTTTCTTTATGATTGTATAAAATTTCATTTTGTCTATGTACTACATTCTCTTTATCCATTTGTCTGTTGATGGACATCTAGGTTGGTTCTGTTTCCTGACTATTGTGAATAGTGCAGCAGTGAACACAGATGTTCAAGTATCTCTGTGATGTGCTGACTTAGCCCAGGAGTGGTATTCCCACAGCAGCAGTGGATAAGGGTCCTCGTTCTCCAAATCCCTGCCATATTTGTTTTCTTTTTTTTATACTTTATTATTTTTATTTAATGTGTATGAGTGTATTGCCTGCATGTGTGTAAGTGCACCTGTGTCACGCAATGCCTGAGGAGGTCAGAAGAGGGCATCAGATTTCCCTGGAACTGGAGTTACAGACTGTTAGCCACTATGTGGGTGCTGGGAGTCAAACCCAGGTCCTCTTTAGAGCTCTTAACCGCTGAGCCAGCTCTCTAGCCCTTGTGTTTGTCTTCTTAATGATAGCCACTATAACTGGGGTGAGATGAGCAAGGTCATCTTTTTAAGTTTTGTCTCACTGTGGTCCCTGCTCTGGTGCTGTCTCTTCCTGAAGGATCTGGCCAGGATGTCCCTGTAAATGAGGGGAAGCCAGAGATGCATACCAGGCAGGCTCAAGAGAACCCAAGTCAGGTCTTGCTTTCTTGGGAGGGACCAACTGATCAACTCAGAAATAAAACGCAACATCTCTAACACGGCTTCAGCCTCCAGGATCTGGGCCCTACCTGCACATCTACGCAATCTCCAATAGCTGGGCTACTTTCTTTCTTTTGCCTCAGTGCTTGGAATCCTAATCCAGAGCCTCTTGCACGTGTTAGGTAAGTGTTCTACTGAGCACCACCCTCCTTTCCCTTTTCAAAAAATTTGTCAGTCATAGCCTTACCCCAGGGCCTTTGCACTTGCTCTTTCCCCTGCCCAGCATGTGCTTCTAGGTAAATACCTCATGGCCCCTTCCTCATTCTCTCTGCCATGTCACTTTGTGAGTGAAACCACCCCAGACCCCTCATTCTCTGTCCCTTTCACAACACTTTATTATTCTTTTTAAATTTTTTTTGATTTATTTTTATTTTATGTGTATGAGTGTAATGCCTGCATGTGTGCAAGTGCATGTGTGTCATGCAGTGTCTGTGTAGGACAGAAGAGGGTGTCAGATCCCCTGGAACTGGAGTTAGAGATGATTGTTAGTTGCCATGTGGGTGCTGGAATTCAAACCCAGGTCTTCTGCAACAGCAGCCGATGCTCTTTACCGCAAAGCCATCTCTCCAGCCCAGTCACATCACTATTATTCTTTGTAGGTTTTTTCCCATCACTTGACCTATTATATGTTTTCTCTTTTTATTTCTTTTTCTTTGTGTGTGTATTTGTGTATGTGTGTGTAGTGTGCCTGCTTTTGTGTGTAGAGGCCCAAGGTTGATATAAGGAATAATCTTCTACCTTATTTATTGAGGCAGGATCTGCCAATCAAATCCTGAACATATAGATATAGCTCTCTCTCTCTCTCTCTCTCTCTCTCTCTCTCTCTCTCTCTCTCTTTGGGGTTACCCTGTCTCCACCTTCTGAGGCTGGAATTGCAGACATTTACATGTGTTCTGAGGATCCAAATTCTGGGCCTCATGGTCTAACCACTGAGCAATCCGCCCAGCTTTTATTTTCTCTTTTATGGAGCAGTGAAAGCTCATGAGAGCCAGGACTTTGCTTCCCACTGGCAAATTCCTTAGAAGGGTGTCTATACAGACAATACGGTACGTATTTCCAGTTGTACAGGTTGGGAAAATAAGAAGCCAACAGGGAAAGGGGCTTAACAAAAAGTCACACAGGAATGTAGTGGTGAAATCTTTTTAGATCTGGTTTTCTAGACTCTTTTATTCAACCTCCCACTTCCAGAGCCCTCCAGACAACCAACGTGACAGTAAGCTTTCACATGGGCTCTGTATTCCCAAAGCTTTCCAAAAGGAGACCAGACCCCTTGCCACATCTCCCCTCCCAATCTTTCCCACCCTGTGGACTCACAAGGCTTGGCAGCTCCACTGTGGCACCCATCCCTCCCAACCCTCCGTGTCCAGAAGCAAGCCTACTTCCTTCTCACTTCCTGTCAGGGGCAGAGGCCAGTCAGCTAGGCTGGGTGCTGCGGCTGGACCACAGCTTTGGTCACAGTGCCCTAGAGACAGAGGACAGGACACTGTCTTGGAGATGATGAGGGCTGTGTAGAAGGAAGTGTGGCTTTTTTTTGTTTGGGAAGAGGTCTCACTATGTTACCTAGACTGACCTTCAATTCCTAAGTTCAAATGGCTTTCCTGCCTCAGCCTCCCCATGTAGCAGGGACCACAGGCATGTTGTGTGGGGTGGGGGAAGGCTGCTTGACAGGAATTAAGGACCACTTTCCAGTTCAAGCTGGGCATAGTGGTACACACTTGTAATTCCAGCATGCAAGACGCTGGCTGACACAGGAAGATGGTGAGATCCAGGTCAGCCTGAGCTACATAGTAATTTCCAGGCCAGCTTGGGCTATGTAGGGAGAGCTTGGTGTGAACGCCTATAATCTCAGCAGTTGGAGTGATGCAGGCAGGAGGATCAGGAGTTCAAAGCCAGCTTTGGCTACACTGCAAGTTAAAGAACAGCCTTGACTCAAAATAAAATTTGAGAGAGAGAGAGAGAGAGAGAGAGAGAGAGAGAGAGCCGGTGAGATGGCTCAGAGGGTAAAAGTATTTGCTTTGCAAGCCTAGTGACCTGAATTTGATCCCCGGAACCTGGGTAAAGGTAGAAAGAGAGAACCAACTCCACAGAGTTGTTCTCTGATTTCCAGTTGTGCACTGTGGCACATGCACCCTCCCACAAACACAAAAAATAAGTAAACAAACAAATAAACAAAACTTGAGTATTTTATTTTTATTATTTTTATTTTATGTGTATGCATGTATTGCCTGTGTGTGGGTAAGTGCACCTGTGTCCTGCAATGCCCGAGGAGGACAGAAGAGGTTGTCAGATCCCCTGGAACTGGAGTTATGGACAGTTGTTAGCTGCCATGTGGGTGCTGGGATCTGAGCCCGGTCTTCTGCAAGAACAACTAGTGTTCATAACCACTGAGCCATCTCTCCAGCCCCAAAAGAAATAAATACATGAAAAGTTCTTTGACATTGTACATTATTAGAAAACTACCAACTAGAGGGGCTGGAGAGATGGTTTGGTGGTTAAGAGCACTGGCTTGCTCTTGCAGAGGGCCTGGATTTAATTCCCAGCACCTACATGACAGTTAACAACCATCTGTTACTCCAATTTCAGGGGATCCAATGCCCTCTTCTGACATTGCAGAACATGGGTGCACTTATATACAAGCAGACAATATAAGTGTACCCATGTTGTGCAAACCATCACTCCAGCTCCTCTAGTTGGTAGTTTTCTAATAATGTATGAGGTCAAAGAACTTTACCATTTGTATATCTGTGCCCATTTGAAAGAAAGTGGTTCATTCTTTCATTGCTGCTTTTTTTTTTTTTTTTTTTTTTAGTTTTTTTGAGACAGGGTTTCCCTGTAGACCCAGCTGGTCTGAAATTGGCTATGTAGACCAGGCTGACCTCAATCTCACAGAGATTCGCCTGCCTCTGATACCCAAGTGCTGAGATTAAAGATGTGGGCCACCATGCCTGGCTCATTGCTGAATTTTAAGAGTTAGTTACATGATTTAAAAAATATGGGTATAGCCCTGTGTGGTTTTTTTTGTGCCTTTAATCCAAGTACTTGAGAGGCAGAGACAGGTGGATCTCTGAGTTTGAGGCCAGCATGGTCTAATACTAGTGAGTTCTAGGCCAGCTGGGGCTACAGGGAGACCCTATCACACACACAAAGTGTGCGCATGGGGGGGGTGTATGTACATGTCTATGTGTGAGTGGGTGTGCCCACATGCATAAAGAGACCAGCAGAGGA